GTAAACCCCACTCCCTTCTAGCACTGATGATGTTCCCTAGTTGAGTCATAAAATGTCTGCAAGAAAACCACCAACCTCAGGGAGCACCAAGGACTCCACAGTTTAACCCTGAGCTACAAACATTTCTTTCTATTGAAACAAGAACCTTTTTGTTTTTCAAAGTCCCTATCTTATCTGCGTGGCGAAAGAAATGTTGAATTCATATTGGATTGCAAAGCATCTAAGCTGTTTGTGTCAACTCTCGTGGCCCTATCAGTTTTATTGATCCTTGTGGACATGAAAAGACGCCTTTGTTTAGCAGGGCAAGGTTCAAAACTTCTCATTGTGATAGGAAGAGTAAAAAAATAGCTGAATTATCTTCATGGGTATTCTCTGCGCAGGCGTGTCTGATAGTCAAAAAACATGAGGATTACATCTGCACGATCCAAGAGCTGTCTCATTTTTACCTGTGTTGCACACACGTAAAAAGACTTAGAATAACTTGATTGTCACTTTAAAATGTGCGTAAATTAAACTGAAAGTTCATCGCATATATCTCTCAAAAGGTCATAAAAAAGAAGCTTTGGATAAGCTTCTTTTGCAGTGATGGGTGAAGGAATTCTGGGTGGTTCAATTCTCTATTTTGATCCCTTTTTCCAGATGCCATCTGGGCATTCGGTGAAAACCAGCTCTTCGTTGTGGGCCCCAACGGGACAGCGGGCATCTTTGCCACCTATCCTTCAGAACACTTGAACTCCGTCAATGGATTTTTTGACCAGGTAAGGCACAAATGTCATATTTAGGGCCCATTAAGCAAAGCCTAGTTTAATGAAAAGAACAACTAGTGGGGTGACATGATAGGGGTGTTCCAACATCTACGGGGCTGCCCCAAAGAAGAGGGAGTCAAGCTATTCTCCAAAGCCCCTGAAGGCAGGACAAGAAGCAACGGATGGAAACTAACCAAGGAGAGAAGCAACCTAGAACTAAGGAGAAATTTCCTGTCGGTGGGAACAATTAACCCGTCACTGGAGGTCTTTTAAGATGAGGTTGGGCAACCATTTGTCTGGAATGGTAGAGGGTTTCTGGCTTTCCTTCAGAAGTTGTAGGTGCTCCAACACTGGATGGGTCAGGATTTCATGAGTTGACAAGTTGTTTTGACAGATTGGACACCCTTTGTCTAAAAGGTACAAGTGTGCAATGGTGTAGCTCGGGTGTAGGATGAGGGTAAAGGTTTGTTCTCTGAGCTTGTGGGTTGGTTTCCAAACCTTTCATTACCAGGCTAGGCAGGGGTGGGATTCAAATTTTTTAACAACCGGTTCTGTGGGCGTAGCTTAGGTGGTGGGTGTGGCTTAGGTGGTGGACGTGGCTTGGTGGCCATGTTATTGGCTGGGCGTGGCCAACTCAATATCACTCACATCGAGGCACACATCTCCTCGCCTGGCCTCTCATGACTGTGGGGATGCTGCAACAGTCGTAAGTGTGAAAAATGGTCATAAGTTACTTTTTTCAGTGCCGTTGTAACTTTGAATGGCCACTCCACACAAGCAAAGGACCAGCAAAGGAGGGAAAAATAACTCCAGAGAAGTTTCTGAGACAGGAAGTCTAGTCCTGCCAAGAACGTAATAAGGGTTAACGGAGAGGCAGTTTCTGTAAGCAACACCAGAATGTTTCCTTCCAGCCTTCCTTACAGGATTAGGCCAGTAATTTCCTCTAACAACCGGTTCTCAGAACTGCTTAGAATGTTAACAACCGGTTCTAGCGAATAGGTGCGATAATCCCACCCCTGAAGCTAGGTAATATCTTCATCAGAGTTTAGGAGAAATTTAAACTCCCCTAAACTTCGCTGAAGATGTTCCCAACTTGGAAATGAAGCATTCAAAAACCAACCCACAAGCTCGGAGAATGAACCACCCTCATGGTATAAGATTTCCTGCCTGAGCAGGGGATTGGACTAGAAGACCTCCAAGGTCCCTTCCAACTCTGTCATTCTGTTAAGCCTCCTGAGATGACCGTAATGTTGGGACACTTAGAAAGTAAGAGTAGAAGACACACAGCATCATGGTGGATAGATGGCGTTAGATGGGACACCTGAAAAGGCAGGTTGGGGGCAGATCCTTCTGGAGAAGGTCTAAGTGCGTGGTATAAGTTCTTCTGCCTTGGACAGTAGGTTGGACTAGAAAACCTTCAAGGTTCCTTCCAGGGGTGAGATTCAAAAATCCCAGCAACCGGTTCACTGCCTGGTTGTTGGGTGGACGTGGATATGGTGGGTATGGCCTACCAGAACTTCTAGGAAGGCCGTTTTTCACCTTCCTCAGAGTCTGGAGGCTTCCCTCAGGTCTCTGGGAGGGCTCTGGAGGCCCTCCAGAAGTCAGGAAACAGACATGTTTCCTGACTTCTGGTACTTCCGGAAGGCCTGTTTTCCCCACTCCTAGAGCCTCTAGGTGGACTCTGACTTACCTGCATTGAAAATAGGCCGTGTGGAGACTCCTGGGAGAGGTGGGGTGGGGTGGGCGGGACCAGCCGGTCAGTTCAAATACCGGTTTGGTGAACCAGATGCAAATGTAACAACCAGTTCTCCCAAACCGGTCTGAACCGGTAGAATACCACCCCTGGTCCCTTCCAACCCTGTGATTCCATATCTCATCAGTAGCTTCCTGGGATGTGAAGTGAAACTCGGTCAGGTCTTTTCAGCAAATTTTGAGGGGAAATTCCAGGGCTGCAAGATAGACAGGTATGGGAATGGCAAACTGCTTTGGTGTCATTGTCAAGACACTCACAGGAGTTGTGAAGACACTCTCAGAAGAATTCCTACTTCCTTGAGGCACCCACTTTTTAATCTTCTTTCTTCTCAGTTCATTGGCACTGCGGCGTTGATCGTTTGCGTCCTGGCCATTGTGGACCCGTACAACAACCCTGTGCCTAGAGGTCTGGAGGCCTTCACAGTTGGCTTCGTCATCCTGGTCATTGGGACCTCCATGGGCTTCAACTCCGGTTATGCCGTCAACCCGGCCCGAGACTTTGGCCCCCGTCTCTTCACCGCCATTGCTGGCTGGGGTACCGAAGTTTTCACGTAAGTGGCTTTTGCGGCTGGACCGAACTTTGAGAAGGAGGTTGGACTAGGAGACCTCCAAGGTCCATTTTCAACTCTTCTATCCTTCTGTCCTTTCGTTAAACGATATGAAGAACCGTTGCAGGAGTTGGGCTTGGCGAACCTAATGAGTAGGAGGGACGTAAGAGCAGGGTTCCAGTTTTTGAGGGGCTGCCACAAAGAAGAGGGAGTCAAACTATTCTCCAAAGCACCAGAAGGCAAGAGAAAAAAAAAAAAACAATGGATGGAAACTACTCAAGGAGAGAAGCCATCTAGAACTAAGGAGGAACTTCCTGACAATCAACAATTAATTAGTGGGACAACTTGTCATCCAGAAGTTGTGGGTGCTCCATCACTGGAAGTTTTTCAGAAGAAACTGGACAGCCATTTGTCTGAAATGGTATAGCGCCATGATAGCGAACCTAGGGCACACGTGCCACAGGTGGCATGCCAGAGCCATTTGTGCCAGCACGCGAGCTGCGGGCAAACTTACCTTACTGCGCATGCGCATGCCTCACAACTGATTTTCAGCCAGTTTGAGGCCTTTTTTGGCTTCTCAGAAGCTTGAGGAAGGTTTCTGCAGGCTTCGCAGGCTGAAAACTAGGCCCGTTTCATCACTTCCTGTTTCTCCAAAAATACCAGAAGTGACTAAATGGGCTTAATTTTCGGTCTGCAAAGCCTGCAGAAGCCTGCAGAAGCCTTCCTCAAGCCTCTGGGAAGCTGAAAAGGGCCTCAAACCAGCCGAAAATCAGCTGTGAGGCCCAGTGCAGGTAAGGGTGGGTGGGTGCGCACGCATGCGTAGGGGGTGTACGGGGGCACGCATTGCCTTCTGGGTGCTGGCACACAAGTGTGAGTGTGAAAGCGCGCGCACAGGAGACCAAAAAAAAGGTTAGGCCCAAAAAGGTATCAGGTATCCTGCTTGAGCAGGGGGCTGGACTAGAAGACCTCCAAGGTTCCTTCCAGTTCTATTCTGATTGATGGGTGTCAATTGATCAATGTTTGGTGTCAAGGAAAATCTCTAGAAGGCACAGTCGATGGAGACAGGGTGTGGAATCGAGGAACAATTCCATTGTTAATGATTGCCCAATCAATCATAGATGCTATTATTTTGCTGGATCCTGGCCAAAAGTGGATACGCAGGGATCCTAAAATTCACGTTTGGTTGTACAATTTGGTGGAAAGAGGAGATAGTTCAAAGTCTGTGGTGTGGGGGTGGGTGGGTGGGAAGGAAAACTGACCTCCTATGACTTTAAAAAGCACGAAGAGAAATAAGTCATTGAGGGAGGTGCGTAGAGAGGAGCTATAAATGTGAATTCCTTGGTACTCTCTGACCTTCGTGGTTATGGAAGGAGGAGGAGGAGGAAGAGGAGGGAAACTGTGGGGTCCTCGGTGCTCTCTGAGCTTGGTTGTTTGTTGGCAGAGGTTTCATGACCCAACTAGGTCACGTTTTCAGTGCTACTGATAGTAGTACTGCTGATACTGATAGCACTGATGATGTGACCTAGTTGGGTCATGAAATGTCTGCAAGAAAACAACCAAGCTCGGAGAGCACCAAGGATCTCACAGTCCTCCTCCTTCTCCCCTCCCTCCCTCCCTCTCCTCCTCCTTCCCACAAACCCCACTCCTTTCTAGCACTGATGATGTTACCTAGTTGGGTCATGAAATGTCTACAAACAACCAACCAAGCTCAGAGAGCACCAAGGACCCCACAATTCCCTCCCTCCTCCTCTCCACAAACTCACTCCCTTCTAGCCCTGATGATGTTACCTAGTTGGGTAATGAAACATCTACAAAAAGGCCATCCAGCTCAGAGAGTACCCAGGACCTTACAGTTCAGCCCTGAGCTACCAATATTGTCTCCTCTTGACCCAGCCAACTGCATGTCCTCTCACCGTTTCTTCTGCTTGTATCTTACAGGACTTCTGGACACTGGTGGTGGATCCCTATAGTTGCTCCCTTCCTGGGTGCCATCGCAGGTGTTTTGGTCTACCAGCTGATGATAGGTTGCCATGATGAGCCCCCTCCCGAATCCAATGATGAGGAGAGCGTCAAGCTGTCCAATGTGAAGCAGAGGGACAACATCTGAAGTTACGCACTTGCTCCCTGGACAATTTTTTTTAAAAAAAAAAGATAAAAAATTTAAAAAAAAACTGAAAAGAACCAAAGAAGAAAGTCAAATGTTCACCCAATAGAATTTTGGAGTCTTCTTCATGCTTACTTCTTCGTCTACCCTTGATGTGTGTTTTTTGTTGTTGTTAAGGCAGCTTTCTCCCATCAGGTTACCTTCAGGTGTTTTGGAACTAGAATTCCCAGGTTCCTCTTTCAACATGCTAGCTGGGAAGGATGGGGATTGGAGGCCCATCCAATCTGGAGGTCACCAGGTGGAGGGAGCTTCAGGGGAAAGTCCATGTCTACCTTTGTTAAGGCAGCTTTCTCCCACTCCAGTTCTTTCTGGAACTAGAATTCCCAGGTTCCTTTTTGATCATGTTGGCTGGGGAAAAATGGGAACTGCAGATCTGGAGGTTACCAGGTGAAGGGAGTTTGCCTGTGAATGTTGATGTTCTCTATTAAGGTAGCTTTCTCCCATCAAGTTCCCTTCAGATGTTTCAGAACTAGAATTTTCCAGGTTTCTCTTGGAGTTGACCATGTTGGCTGGGAAGAATGAGAATTGCAATCCCGGCAGACCTGAAGATCACCGGGTGGAGGAAACTGCCTGTGAATATGCATATATCTTGTTGGGGGATTATGATCTATCTTGGCTTGTTTTGAAGGACCCACCTGACCAATAGTTCTGCTTCCAGGTGGGATATTTTGGCTACTTGGGGGCTCCTCTTTTACTACGTCATTCCTAACAAGTTTGCTCTTTTGGTGCTCTCTGTCGCTTCTGCTGCTTTTGGCACGAGATGGGTTTGGAGGGTATGGGTTCATCTTTGTAAATACATTTTGGGCTGCGGTTTGAGAGAAGGATGGGGGGGAAAAGCTATTACAGCTGCTGTGAACAGCTAGATAGTCTCAATCCACTCATTGATAAGGGCTGGATTTTCTGCAAGACATTTTGGGTGAAAGTCAACGATACAGAATAAGACAGTTGGAAGAGACCTTGGGTTGGGTTGGGTTGGATCATTACCGTATGTCTTTCTAGACAACTAGAAATTTGTCTTGATTATTCTAGACAAATGACCTTCATCCCAATTGTTTAGTCTTTTGCTCTCTGAGAAACCGTGTACATTTAATTCTTGCTTCAGCTTCTTTTTGTTCATTGTTTTAAACGTGCATTTAGGAAAAGATCTTCACATAATTACTGCTACCCTGTGTCGTTCACACCCAAGGGATTGAAGTCATAAGCAGACTATGGTGGGGCAAGATTGAGTGTTGAATTTGGGCCCAGGATATTTTTAATGCCCAATGGATAGCGCAATCAGAGCTGGGAAGAAAACCACGCACAGATTAGTAACATCATGCAATACCTCCAGTTATTTGAGAGCCAGTTTATTCTAGTGGTTAAGGCAACAGGCTAGAAACCAGGAGGTGGTGAATTCTAGTTCTGCCTTAGCTATGAAAGCCAGCTGGGTGACTCTGGGCCAATCACCAGGGGGCTGTGAGTTCTAGTTTCTACTTTAGGCCCAAAAGCTGGTTGAATGACCTTGGGCCAGTCATTCACAGGTTGGTTGTTGTGGGGAAAAGAGGAGGAGGAGGAGGAGATATATTCGCTAACTGGAATTATTTGTTAATATAATACAGGCAGAATACAAATGAAATCAATAAAAATTTATCTGGATCCATCCTTTCAAAAAAAGGCACTTCCACTGAAGCCATGTAAGACACACACACAGACACACGGAGAAAACTTTATATTGCCAGTGGGATACAAGCTTCCTTAAATTATGGATTTCCCAAACAATCTGTAAAGTTTAACATCTGTACTGTATTTCCAGGTATTTGTTTGTTTTTTTTAAAAAAATGAAATTAATACACCTCTTGTATATTGGCTGTCATTGTTTTGCAGTATTTGTAAACAGGGCTGTAATAAATAAGGCTGGCACTGCAAATGCCACTGTTTGATACGAATGAATTAAATGGAATCCTTTGTATTTCTATTTTTGTGGAGTCCTTTGTGCTCTCTGAACCTGGGGGTGTTTCTTGCAAACATTTCAATATCAAGCTAGGCAATATCATCAGTGTTAAAAGGAAGTGGGGTTTGTGGAGAAGAAGGAGAAGGAGAAGGGGAAGAAGAAGAGAAGGGGGAAGGGAGGGGAAGAGAAGGAGGAGGAGCAGGAGGAGGAGGAGAAGATGAGGGGTTATTAGGAAGAGAAGGAGAACTGTGGGTCCTTGGTGCTCTCCAAGGTTGGTGGTTTCCTTGCAAACATTTCATGAAAAAGCTAGGTAATATCATCAATGCTACAAGGAAGTGGGGTTTGTGGAGGAGGAGAAGGGGGAGGGGGAGGGGAAGAGGAGGGAGGAGGAGGAGGAGAAGAGGAAGAGGAGGAGAAGGGGGGAGAAGGAGGAGGAGGAGGAGGAGGAGGAGAAGGAGAAGGAGAAGAAGAAGAAGAAGAAGAAGAAGAAGAGGAGGAGGAGGAGGAGGAGGAGGAGGAGGAGGAGGAGGAAGAAGAAGAAGAAGAAGAAGAAGAAGAAGAAGAAGAAGAAGAAGAAGAAGAAGAAGAAGAAGAAGGGCTAATAATTTATGAGGAGGAGGAGGACTGTGGGGTCCTTGGTGCTTTCCAAGCTTGGGGGATTTCTTGCAAACATTTCATGAACCAGCTAGGTAATATCATCAGTGATAGAAGGGAGGGGCTTGTGAAGAAGATGAAGAAGGAGAAGGGGAAGAAGAAGAGAAGGAGGAGGAGAGACGAGGAAAGTGGAAGGAGGGAGGAGGAAGGGGAGGAGATGGAGGAGCAGGACGACTATGGGGCCCTTCGTGTTTTTTTCCTGCAGACATTTCATTACCCCACCAGGTAACTTTATCAGTGCACTAATCCAGCTATCCAGTTTAATAAGAAAAGGTCTGCAGGAAAACCACCAAGCTCAGTGAGCAACGAGGAGCCCATTTATTAAGCACAACTTTGCAACTCAACAGATGGGTGGCTGGCTTTGCTTTTCCCAAATTCTGAGTCAACAACGCTGGGCTGTTTTTCCACAGTATACTTGACCTGCTAAGGGAATTGACCTTTTCTCTGGGTGGAAACAAAACACCCACCCAGGAACATCAGCTAGCAGCCAGAAGCCATGATGAAACCTCTTCAATTTCACAACACAAGGACAGGGAACTGGGAAACTGTGAGCATCCTAGACCCAGCCAAGCCCAAACATGCCAGAGGATTCCTGGAAGCCTGGCACTCTGACAGATTGGCTATTGACAGGCAAATTGAGATATGCAACATCTACATGCCATTCGAAAAAGTCCATCCAAAAAGCTAAAAGATCTAAACACGTCCTCACCATCAAATAACAGCCAGATAAGCACCGATGAACACCAAGATTCATTCTAGAGACAAACAATCCAGAAATAAATAAATAACAGCCCATTCAAAGAACTACCAAGACCATTCTCACCAACAATGAGAGGGCTATTTCTATATAAGCAGATGCAAACCTCACTTCCTTCCAGCACTGATAGCATTACATGGTTGGGTCATGAAACATCTGCAAGAAAATGACCACGTTTGGAGAGCACTAAGGATCCCACAGTCTTCTTCTTCTTCTTCCTCCTCCTCCTCCTCCTCCTCCTCCTCCTCCTCCTCCTCCTCCTCCCTCCCCTCCTCTTTTTCCTCCTCCATCCCAGAAACCCCTCTTCTTTCTAGCATTGATGAAGTTGCCTAGTTGGGTAACGAAACGTCTGCAAGAAAATAAGCTCTTCAAATCCTACTTCCTTCTTGTACTGAAGATGTTATCCGATTGGGTCATGAAATGTCTACACAAGGATTACACAGTCCTCCTCCTCTTTCCTCCTCCTCTTCCTCCTCCCATCTTCTCCACTCTGGAAACCTCACTCCTTTCTACCATTGAAGATGTTACCTACTTGGGTCACGAAATGTCTGCAAGAGAACAGCCCAGCTCAGAGAGCACCAAGGACTCCATAGTTCCTTCGTTCAGTCATACCGAAAGCAACCTTGAAGGTAACAATTCTTATTTCCCAACATGCATTTTAGTGCTGTCATTCCTAACTGTATCTACATCTCTACCTCCCTGCAGGCATTCATGAGCTCTGCTCCACGAGATCAGGCCACCCCATTTAATGATTTATTACATTCTTTTACACCTGTCACTCCTTTCCTTTTTTTCTTATCTACTTTTCTTTGTTTTTCCTTCCATGCCTTCCTTCACACCCTTCACCCTTTACACCTCTTAAATTCCAAGTTGCAGTTTTTAATTTGCTATGAAATATCACCAAATGAGGTCATTGGTACTGATCTCCACCCTGCCCATTCCGAATTTAATCAAGCAAAGCTTTCACACATACAGGTAGTTCTCAACTTATGACGCCCCACCGAGTTCAAAATTCCCATTGCTAAGTGAAACAATTCTTATGTGACTTTCGCCCCATCCTACAATGAGGAGAACACCTTTTAATCCTTCTGTCTTGGCCACTTTTTACAGAGGCACGATCAAGACCATTTTAACAAACAGCATCACTTTTTGGTGGCGGCAGTGCCTCAGATAGAAAGTCCCTACAGAGAGTGGTGAGGACAGTGGAGAAGATTATAGGAAGCTTGCTTCCTGCTATTCAGGCCGCTTATAAGTGCTATGTGCTTAGAGCTCTAAGCCTTGTTAGAGGCTACACATACCCATTTCACGGTGCATTTCTGTTCCTTCCCCCTGGAGGAGGATTCGAAGCAGTGGTGGGTTTCAATTTTTTTTTACCACTGGTTCTGTGGGCATGCATGCGCAGAGGGCTTGCTACTCGCCTTCTCCCACAATCCTGCACTCTTTTCTCTCCTGGTCTATGGAGCGGAGAGTTGGTCTCTGACAGAAAGCCACTTGAAGAGCCTATAGAAGCATTTGAATGGTGGATTTACAGACAGCTGTTACGTAGAAGTTGGGTTGATATAATCAGAAACGAGGAGGTGATAAGCTGCCTGGGAAAGCCGAGGGAAATCATCAAAACCATTCAGAGGCGGATGTTAGAATATTTCAGACATGCGACACTCAGAAAAATACGGCATCCTTCACTGAATCCTCCAGGGAAAGATTGAAGGCAAGTGAGGTCCAGGCAGAAGAAGAACATACTTGCTCAAAAGATCATGGGTTGCCCTCTCCCGTCTTTGGAAGAGCTTCATAGCTCCCGCTGCCTTAAGAAAGTTCAAAACATTCTCAAAAGATCCATCTCCTCCTGGGAACCCTTTTTTTTTTTAACTATTACCATCTGACAGACGGTACAGGATAATAAAAACAAGGACAAATAGGCTGAAAAACAGCTTCTATCCCAGGGCAGCAGCTCTTTTGAATTCTGCTGTAGAGTGCAATATTCATGCAATATCAGGGGTTTTCCATTCAGTTGTACAGAACGTGAAGGACGTGGGTTTGAGTTTTATTTTTATAGTTAGAATGTACACTGAAGATGGCATTTAATTTCATTGCACAAGTTGCAATGACAATAAACTAAACTAAACTAAAATAAACATCATGGCTTCAAAATCTAAGGGTTGGACTGGTTTGGACAAAACTCAGCAATCCTTTTTCGTGTGGCTGTCGATCAAAATAGCATCGCCAACATGATGCTAGGATCATCGTCTGATGACGGATATGGCACAAAAAGAAGAAGTTGTATAAGCAGAGGAATAGGATAGAGTTGGAAGGGACCTTGGAGGTCTTCTAGACTAATCCCCTTCTTAGGCAGGAAACCCTACACCACTTCAAGCAAATGGTTATCCAATATATACCCTATGACTATTATTAAGTGTTGTCCCTGATGATTCTTGACTCTTGACGTATGTATCTTTTCTTTTATGTACACCGAGAGCATATGGACCAAAGACAAATTCCTTGTGTGTCCAATAATACGTGGCCAATAAAGAATTCTATTCTATTTTTAAAAACTTCCAGTGTTGGGGCATTCACAACTTTTGGAGGCAAGTTGTTCTGCTGATTAATTGTCCTCACTGTCAGGAAATTTCTCCTTAGTTTTAAGTTGTTCTTCTCCTTGGTTAGTTTTCATCTGTTGCTTCTTGTCCTTCTCTCAGGTGCTTTGGAGAATAGCTTAACTGTCTCTTCTGTTGTGGCAGCCCGTGAGAGGCATGGAATCAAAATCGCATCAAGTATTAGTACCGCTGGATAAAGCCTTAGTAAGGCCTCATCTGGAATACCGCACCAACTTTTGGTCACTGTGTTACAAAAAAAAGAGGTTGAGACTTTGGAAAATGTACTTTTCAATACCTTCATTAATGGCATAGCTGCAGGAATAGCTAATACCCAAGAAGATAGGTTCAAGATCCACATGGATCTTGACAGACTAGAACACGGGGCCGTGTCTAACAAAATGAAATTCAATGTAGAGAAAAGTAAAGTCCTACACTTAGGCAAGAAAAACCCAAAATACACATATAGACTGGGTGAAACCAGGCTCAATAGCAGTAAGTGGGAGAGGGATCTTGGAGTCTTAGTGGACAACCAGCTAAATAGCAGCCAGCAGTGTGCAGCAGCAGCCAAAAAAAGCTAATGCAATCCTAAATTGCATTAATAGAGGGATACAATCAAGATCAAGGGAGGTACGAATACCTCTCTATAAAGCCTTAGTACCACCACACCTAGAGTACTGCATTCAGTTTTGGTCACCACAAGTAGTGGGATTCAATTTTTTTTACTACCGGTTCTGTGGGCATGGTTTGGTGGGCATGGCAGGGGGAGGATACTGTAAAATCTCCAGTTGGAGGTGGTATTTGCCTGTTCTCTGAATGACTTAAAATTTCTACTACCGCTTCTCCAGAACTGGTCAGAACCTGTTGGATACCACCT